GTTTCGACAAGGTTTTGTCATCATCAACATACCTGATGATGACAAAACCTTGTCGAAACGTTGTACATTTGCTGTCATGTTAAACTTATATTAAAGTTTTTCTTCATTACCCATTTAAGCCGTCTCCAGCCATTATTAGTCATGCAATTGTTTAAGCTATGTTTCATGCGGAATTGCTTCCAGATTTAATCTCATAGACCCTATTTTTTTAAAATTTTCTCTGGAGGCATGCTCTCTGACCACCGTACCATTAGTATTCCTTGCATGCAGATTGTGCTTCGCACAATAAGTTGGCTTTCATTATCACAAATCAAAACCCTCTTTCAAACTTTCTACGTATGGGCCTGTTATAGATTATTGTAGAATTATATGTATTACTTGTTTGTTTTAAACACGAAGCTACACAATGAGCTATCTGTGCTGTGTCCACCACGGGTAAAGAAATCATATTTTTAGCGTTATATGCCTGAAGATTTATCCCTGCGTCACCGGGTAGGGTGGAGTACATGTATCACAATAATTAGACCTATATATATCACAAAAATATAAAATCATAAACCCGGGCGTTTTCGAAAGGTGGACCTTTCTTCATCAGAGGCAAGAAAAGAAAAGAAAAGAAGGTCCATCTTTCAAAGGCGCTTGGGTTATAGGGTTTGTATTTTTGTGTTAATTTTTTTTAATTTTTTAATCTGCGTGATTTTCTAACATAATGAACAGACCTATATAACATTACGCTTGTATTCTGGTCCAAGAATTTTCCCCTCTTTTCCAAAATCATGTATCTACCCCTGCTCACGTCATATTATATTACTGATTTCATAATTGTGTAAACAAACATTAAAGAGAGACATACCAAAATAAAACAGTTTCAACTTTAAGAATGTAGTTCTTCTGGAGACCCACTGTTCGGCCGTGGTAACGTTATAACGTGACGGTCAAACCCACTATTCGTTGGTAAAGAGTAGCCCAAGAGTGGGTTTTGTGTGCTGTCAGCGAGTTGCCTTTCATCTATTCGACATTTCAAAATTGGAATCTGCGAAAAATAGTCTTAGCAGTTCACCATAAATAAAATAATATTAATCTTGTAGTAAGGGGGCGGTGCGTGTCCTAGTGGTTAGGATTATTGGATTCTGAATTCGCGGATTCATGGTGTAGCTACTATTTGGCCCCCCCAGTGGCACAGCGGTATGTTTGTGGACTTAAAACGCTAGAAACCGTGTTTCGATACCCGTGGTGAGCAGAGCACAGATAGCCCATTGTGTAGCTTTGTGCTTAACTTCAAACAAACAAAGAAACAAGCTACTATCTGTTGTCGCATGATTACAATATGTACTTTTGTGTCGTGTGGATGCTGCAAAAGTGACAGTGAAATCTTACTATTCGCTCAAAGAAAACTAGCCCAAGAGTTGATAGTGAATGTTTATTAGATCAAATTAGACACGGGTATGCACAGATATCATTTTGTGTAGTTTGTGCAAAATTTCTGAAACAAACTTTCTGTGTCTTGTTTTTTCACATCATAAGTGATTTACATCTGTGGTATTTTTAGGTAAAACTGCTGAAATCTTGACAAGTATTAGATAGACGGATCCACAAATAACTGCTTTTTTATAGGAAAAAAAAGAATGATTGTGATCAGATAACTTAACTGAGTTTTTAGTGTGTGTGTGTGTGTGTGTGTGTAGTAAAATGATTAGACTAAACAAAGCTGAAAAAAAGAAAACAATCTTTATTATTGTGTAAAAACAAAAATAAAACACACCGTGTTTGCTTGCGCACACAAAAAATAGTCTCTTCTTGTTGGATATACAAGACTGTTTAGTGTAAGATTAATTATTTAGTGATTAATATTTAATGATTATCTAGTTTTCGTAACAAGAATGTTAAAAATTAATTTGTTTACGGATTTTAAGTTGTTATTGTTTGTTATTAAGCACAAAGTGCTATCTGTACTCTGCCCACCACGGGTATCGAAACCCGGTTTCTGGTAGTATAAGTCCATAGACACACTGCTGTACCACTGGGGGGAAAGGATTTTAAAGGTGATAGTTATGACAAATTTCATTACGTAACTCGGTAAGAGTTGTGCGTTGTGTGTGTGTGTAGTTTAATTGTTGTAACTTGACGTTACGTTACTTGAACTTTCTGTATTTTTCTCTTAGGTGAATATTTATATTGTTACGTCTCCGTTTGTTAATTGATTTTCCGTAACTTCGTTCCGACGAAACTTTAGCGACACAAGTCCTTACTTAATAAAACTGGTTTATTCTTTCCGAATACAACTTTACGATACACTTATTTTCAACAGTCGCGCTATAACAAACTATAATAACGACGTTAACTTCAACAATACGTCTCTCTCTGACTGCAGTTCAATTACTCATTACCTACACACACATTATCCCGTCACGTTGTGACCATCTTTTATATACCAGCTACCCTATATCTAGTAAATGTTAGGGCATTCACAAAGGTACAGGATAGTTCTAGAAACGTGGCGTGACACTAGTCATGTGACCTCGCTGACGCAACAATATCACAGCGTCTCGTAAATTGTAGAAAGTTCTAGGACTCGGTTAGGCAATATATATATATATAGGGACGTCGAGAGCCAGCACGGGCCCCGGGCCCCCTTTCTCTCTTTCTTCTTTTTTAACATTTTCAAGAATTTAATTAAAAAGAAGATCCTAAATTAGGACAGCAACAAGGTCATAAACCAGACAAAATCATAGCAGCAGCCGTTTTTACCTCACAGTATAATGATCACAAATGTAAAGACGATGTAATTTTGTTAACCTACCGTGCAGATCT